TGTAGGTGGGGCTGAATGACAGAGAACAGTTCTACACCGAGACAGAAAGGAGACAAACACGTGAGAAAAAACGTCATATTTTATGGTTGTTAGCTCTAGTGTATTGTCACATCGAGGTTTAAATATGATCAATAATTAGCTGTGCATTTTTCCAGTGTTTTTGTACTTTTGTAAAACTATAATTACATATCTAGTCATTATACACAAACATAATAAAGATAGTGAAACATTTTTACTTTCATGGTTAGAAAGAAAAAGTCACCTTAAAGTCACTGGTGATTTTATGGTTAAACATGAAAAAACCCAACAAATGAATGTAACAAACCAAACAAACACTAATGTTTTCACCGATTATTTAATTTACCTCACATCAAGCCAACAGTGTTAAATTGTTTTATAGTTTACAGACGTTGTCATTTTTACTGTTTATCACTGCTAAATATAGAGATATATTTTTTACAGTGTATGTCTATCATTAAAATGTAAAGATCTGCCTACATTTCTCTAGTGGTGATGTTGCTTGACTGTTAAATTAATGTCATGGTCTTAAGTTTACAACTTTTCATATCCATAAGCTACAAAATTTCTTTGAGACAGGAGGTCTCACTCTGTAAAAAATGGATTAAAGTGAAAAATAACATAAGTATAATTAATGAACTTAATTATACTTTTAAGTTTTGTAGGAACTGTTTGCCAACCTAAATTTGATTGAAAACAGCAAAAGCAAACAACAGATAAAACATCTAAAGTGATGCTTGTTTTTTAACACATTTATTTTGGTTTAAAGACCAAAAAAAAAAAACTTTTATTAAAGGTTTGTAATATCAACAGGTAAAAATTTTTTAAAGTTTCCCAGATGGAATGACTTTCATTGCTCAATGAAAGTAAGAGAAAAGTTTATTTTAAAATAAAAAAAATGTGTAAAGTTATTAAAAGATTATTAAATTCATTCCAGCTACAAATGTGACCTTGTTACTTACAGATGAGACGCTGAGGACAGACGGCGGTGTACACGGGTCGCACTCTGAATCTAATGTGTTTCCATATCTGCATCTCACTTCGTCTCCATCGGGGTCAAAGGCCAATAAATCTATGTTTTTGGCACAGTTTGAAGGAATTCTGGGAGAGAAAAAACATCCATATTAACATCACAAACCTAAATTTGTGGCTCAGTTGGTAGAATATTTGTCATGTAGCCCAGACACTTAAAATTGCCGACTGATCTGCACGATCGATTAAAAAAGATTTTACTGTAAAGCTGCAGAAACAGTTTCTCAGAGTTAAAACCAGAGGATCTGTGGAGGAACCTAAAAATGAGGGTGATGGCAAAGACCCCCACCAAGACCCATGGTGCTAATTGTCAAAGATAATCTTTGAAAAATACCAGTGAAGTCGTGCAAAACTCTTGTTAGAAATTAATAAAACACCACTTCCATCCCAAACAGGGCTTTTCCATTGGTAATTAGGAAGAGTGTAAATTATTTTCCACCTGCAAAGTTTTCCCAAATGTAATAAAAATTAGAAAAAGCACGTTTCCCCAAAATTAAATCCTTTGTGCATTGTCTGTCTTTTGAGAAATGCCTGTATCATTCATGTACAAACATCCATATTTCCTGGGTTTAGTGAAGCATCCATCCGTCACGTCGTACCTCAGAGCAGGGAGGATGGTGGTCTGTGGGGATGTGTTGGGTTTTCCGATGTCGGACCGGTTCCTCACTTCAACGTCAGTCACAGCTCTCCTTACTATATACCCATTTTGTAGGTTATTGATCCAGCTTCCATTAGCCATCCTGCAGCGGACATTATTGATAAGGTCACAGATGCTACTTACTAGTGAATGATGTTAAGAGTAGTAGCATTCACTTTCAAAACTTTGACTGAATGTTTTGAAAGTGAATTTTTAGATGTGATTAATTCTCAGTGATGTTTTTAAAGTGGAGGACTCACACAGTCTGAAATCCAGTGTTGTTGGGGAGCAGATGAGTTATCGCTCCTTCTCTCTGACACCATTCACCACTTACTTCCTCGACGTCAGACAAGGCGAGCGTCTGGGTTTCTGTTCCACAGTTCCCACTGCATACCCATGTATCACTATGTGAGCATAAATCATAATTCAGCTTGTAGCGAAGGATCACCTGCGGATTTAAAGCAAAGAGATTTTAAGTACAATCAAATTCTAAAAGCCAAATACAATATTTGCCATAGAATCATGTCTTACTGAAACTGAGCCGTCTGCAAAGGTATCCTCTGGGTAGTAGGTCATCATGGCGCCCAGAATATTAGAAGCTTGTGAACCGCTGACCAGCAGCAGCAGCAGCGGCAGCAAGGAGAGCAACATGGTGAAGGAGTCGACGTCTCTTCACTGGGGGACAACAGAGACAAAGGACATTTATACTCCTCTCTCCACCTCTGTTTCTTATCTCCTCACTGGGACTCGACTCAGAAACGGTGGAATGCTGTTAAACATGTGGGTAAACGCAGTAAAACCAGGAAATCACCTGGTGTGTGAACATCTGTGGGATCTGGGAGGTAAAAATCAGAGATTTTTACTAAACACTAAGCAGATATGAAGATTCTTTCTTTATACACTGTCAGAGAACAAAACATTGATTAAAATAAAGCTGTTTTTGTGTTATTCTTTTTCTACCGACTGGTTAAACTATTCTCATTTTACTTAGATTTAGAGAAGACAGAGAAAGAGGACGCAGGTTCTATCGCACTTAAAGATATTTTGTGTTTTTACGTAAATCTGACATGCATTTCTTTCTGCATGAATCGTTTTGTTCAATGTTGGTTTAGAAACAATCCACTTCCTCATGACATGACTCAGAAAAATCTTCCCTTGCAAAATTAAAACCACTTTCTAAAGTTTCTCCAACACCATGAAATTAGTTTTTTTTTACTCTGATTTAAGTGTTAGTAAGAGGCTAAATTTAGATATCAGAGATGGCAAAAATGAGGGTAATAGAATATTTTCTTGTTTAATATTTTCCTCTCACGAAGAAAGACATCCAGGTGAAAAACTATATGTCACATAAACAAAATCAAGGTAAATACAGGTCAATGTAAAAATAGTTTATTCTGGCAAACCTAAACATTTAGCTCCCTCACTTGGAAAAGTTTTTACTGCCCTCAATAGTTGTCTTTGATTTATTTACATCATGAGAGACGTTTACAAGCATTCTTTACAAATATTAGAAATTCTTCCAGGTTAGGAAACACAGAAAAAAATAACAGACAAAAACCATTTAAACTACCAAATTCTATATAGAACACTTTCAATATTGATTCAACAACCGGAAATAAAATGTAATAATTTACAGCACAATTTCAATAGGCCTTCGCAGCCCTTAGCTGCTCGGGCCTAACTATCCACATGTGATTTATAAATAAGCTAAATGTATGTATAGACATCATATAAAATACAGTCAACAATATACAGACAGGAGATGAAACAGTGAAGCTGAATAAAAACATCTGGAAACCCATTTTCTGCAGAGTTCAGTAACATTCATATTTTTAGCCACTAGGGGGCAGCTGTGATTTCCAGTGCACCGTTTCTCTGGATGGTTACGATGATGTTTTGTGGTAATCCTTGATCAGTCAGTTCTTTTTTAATCTGTAAAAGAAACAAAAGGTTTCGTTATGATTCAGCTCTGTTTGGATTAGACAGATTATTCAGTTTTCTTTCACCAAACTGGTGGATCCGTCATTAGACCTTAGAAACTATCCATTCATCAGTTTTTGTCACATAGTTTCACCATAAAGTAACTTTAAGCATCTTTTGCACACAAACGGATGCATGAATACTGCCCAAGCATACAGCATGTCTTTGTTCATTAATGTTACACAAACATAAGTTACTGAAGATACAGTGATAAACAGTAAAATTGACAAAAAGCTTTCATAAAACTTGACTTGATGTGAAGCTGCCATAAGTAAATTAATAACAGCAATTTACATATTTTGCATTTGTACTTTCATTTTATGTTGTTTTTAGGGTAATTTAAGGGAAAACATTGTTTTCCTTAAGTTTCACCGTAAAACACTTATTCCAGCAACATTTTTAACCATAAAATTACCAATGACAATGACATGTAATCAAAAAAAAAAATAAATAAAAGATTTACCTGTAATTTTGGTAACTACAGCTGCCTGCATTTAACTGTGAAATTTACTTCTTTTTTTCCCCCAGTGTACAATGAAACAATAACAGTTAAAATAATATTATTCATAATAATAATAAAAGAACAGTTTTGGATGTAAAATAGATTTTTTCTGAACATCATGTGAAATCTACATTTCTTTTACTATTTTACATTCAAACTTTGTTCAAACTGCACTAATAACTAAAACCATTTAAAACATGCAGAAGACAATTGTTGTTGCTCGAGTGAAAGTCAAATAATTTACTAACCAGTTGCAAGATTGTGTTGTAGTCATTCTCCAGTGAAAGTCTTGTTGAGATCTTTGCATTCAAAGCAATAACATAATCTAGAAAAACAAACAAACATGGAATCCATTCAATAATCTATCACAAAATGGTTTAATTTACTAGAATACTTTACAAGATCTCAAAAAACTGAATGTCACATTTTTAAAAATGGAATACAGATTCATTACACATGGTGTGATCTAATTCCATCAAAATCAGATTTCTTCTAATTATTATCTGGATTATAAATAATAATGTTCATTTCTAAAACTCAATACTTTGTTGTTTTGATAGCTGCCTTCAGGTTGTTTGCATATCCCTATTACAGGTGAACCTTTTCCTACTACATGTTGTCATTGTCTGAAACACTTGACTTTGGGTTTTCATTATCTGTAGGCCATGATCATCAAAATAATATTTTAGTTTGCATATAATGAATCTTTAAAATCTATCAGCGTCAAAAAATATCCAACTTTTTTATGATTGTCAAATTTTTTGAGTTGTACCTGGATACAGATTCTGATCGTGAAACTGCATGACATATGTTGGTCATACTTACATGGTCCTGGATCCGATGTGCTTGTAGGCGGCGGAGTTGTTGGGGCACTGGTCTGAGGTGATGGTGGCATGATTGGTGGGGCTGTTGGAGAGACAACTGTAGTTGTACCTGCAGTTGTAGTTGGGGCAGATGTGGTTGTAGTTGGGAAATGGACGGTTGTTGTTGGCATGGGTGGAGTGGTTGTTGTCGGTGCAGCTGTAGTTGTTGTTGGGGCAGATGTGGTCGTAGTTGGGAAATGGACGGTTGTTGTTGGTGCAGCTGGCGTTGTGGGTGGGGGTAGAGGTGGAGGCGTTGTCGGTGCAGCTGTAGTTGTAGTTGGGGCAGATGTGGTTGTAGTTGGGAAATGGACGGTTGCTGTTGCCATGAGTGGAATGGCTGTCGTTGGGGATTGGGTGGAAACTGGTGGTGGTATAATTGTTGTGACTGTTGACGTGGGTGAGACGGTTGTAGTTGTGAAGTGGGTTGTTGTCGTTGGAGCTGCTGATGTTTGGGAAACGATAACCGTGGTACCTGTGGGTAGAGCCGTGGCTTGCACCAGTTGACTTGGTGCAGAGTCTGAAAACAGACCAAGATATTAGCAAAAGCTTTACTAGCAGTGTAAACAAAGAATCGATTAAAAACATTATAAACTGTACTCACGATTCCCAACTTTTACAATGACGCATCTAAGGTCAGACTGATACACGGACGAAGCTGAACTGTGGAAATAATTTAGTACGTTAGTGTCACTTATGAAATTAGTGCCTTTATTTTAACTTAGTTAAGTCTAAAAAAGTTTTGATAAACACATTTGAAAAGCATACATTTGTCAAATCTAAAGATTAATTTGCATGAATTTACATGATGGCCTTTATTCACTCTATCATCTCTGCTAGCTTCCACAGACCCTTGTCATGACAGGATGTGCTGGAGGTTTACATTGGGGGTACTGGGTGCAGCATTCCTCCCTCCTGAACCATTGGTGAAGGGTCTGTAGACAGGGAAGTCGGTTGTCTGTTGAGAGGACGATGAAGCTGAGCCTTGCCTGCAGGATCCTCTAGAGGTCTATCATGCTACTGTTCCACTTGATGACACCCAACCAGGTCATCCTGCTTCATCATCAGCCCTGAGACACGACCTTGAACTTCTTGGTTGTGGTTGCATCTCCTCAACTCCCAAACCATTGAAGGGTCCATAGTCAGGAAAGGGACTGTCTGTTGAGCGGATGAGGATCCTTCAACTACTGTTCCAGTTGATGACACCCAACCAGATCATCCAGCTTCCTTATCAGCCCTGAGACATGACCTTGATCTTGTAGCACTCTACCTCCATCCTGAGATCAGGTTAAATGGCCACTCCATAATGAGTTTAGTGTTTATCACCCTGTGATGAACTGGCGTCCTGTCCGGGGTTTGGTTTGCATCTTGCGTACCTCGCCTCATGTGCCGGAAACAATCCGATCTGAAACCACATCCTTCAAATTTTTGAAGAAAACAAACTTACGTCGACTGGACGACAAAGCAGATGGGATGGCTTTCTCCACTTTCAAAATTAGATGGTGTCCATGTCAAGGTGAAGTTTCCCAATGCCTGTGTGTTTTTCACCACATTATGAGGACCGCTGAACAGGAGGCCAGAGATCCTTTAGGAAACAAGACATTAAGATGTTTTTAGGTGATAAACGCTGCATTTTCTAATCTAACCTCTGTTGTTTTGCTTCTGCCTACGTGGATTGAGAGGCCTCTGCTCTGATGTTGATTTCTACTGTTTGGCTGACAGTGGTGAGGATCTGGGCTCCGTGGTCCGGAGTCGGAGAGAGGAATCTGGGCAGATAGACTCCTTCAGAGCAGGACGGCACAGCAGGATCCACTGGAACAACAAAGGAAAGCAAGAAATTTAGCTCTGGTGATATAATTAAGGATGAAAAGCCTGAATTTATTTTCCACAAGTTGCACCAAAAGTCTCTGAGTAGCATAACAATGTAACTATTTGGAAACTCAACCATAAACGATAAAAGGTCAACTTCTCGATGCTAGATTTGACTTTAAAACGGCTCCTAATGGTTGTAGAACCCTGAAATCTGAATGTAGTGTTGGACCTTTCCAAACAAACTGGACCGGTATCTTGCTGATGGCTTCGTTGGTCGTCTTCTGCACCAAGGAGCCGTCGGGTTGAAACAGATTTATGTTCTGCCTGGGGAAGTCTTCCATCACCAGCTGCACTGCGTACGGCCCTTCGTTGCTGCTGTTTGTTGGACTGAATGACAGACTGCAAGACTGCAAGAGGACAGAAAAGACCAATGCTAAGTGATCTAGATCAGGGGTGTCCAAAGTGCGGCTCAGGGGCCATTTATAGACTTGGTCTGATTTTGTGCGGCCCCCAACTGCATTTAAAAAAATGATAAAAATTTGGCCTGTCAATGCAGGTGGAGACTTTTAATTTGTAATCAGGGTAAAACATGATTTTCTGACACAGGAAAATGTAAAGTACAACACAAAGTATTTGCCTTATTATAACCAAGTTTGAGCAAAAGGTAAAACCAAGTTTATCCAGAGACTTTCACTAAAAAGCCAACTTTGCTGCACCCAAATCAGCTTTTATTCTTTCTTGAACTCGGCTAATTATAACAAATGTTTTTGAAAGAAATCCACACAAATCCTGTTCTTAATATTGAAAATAAATTTATTCACTTGAGCCCGAACGGAACAGAAAATTAGATGTCTTTCTTTTTACTACAGCAAACATGCAAAAAAATTAAAGAAGTAATAATAGTAAATTTATGACAATTTTGAGAGAAAATTTCTAGAACAAGAAAAATTACTAGAAAAAATATCAAATTTTTAAGATTATCAGAAATTTTCTACAATCTTTTTTTAAATTAAATTTAAATTTCTAAGTTTTCCAGAGAATTTCTGAGATTAATCACAAAATTTCTGAGTTTTTAGCCGAAATGTATTTTTTATATATATATATATATATATATATATATATATATACACACACACACACACAAAATGGCGCTAATACACTCTAAAGTTTTGGATTTACATTTAATATCGAGCTACTTTACTTGCTTAATTGTTGCTTATTTATTTGGGGGGTCCGCTGCTACTTTTGAGTCCACAATTTTGGGCCATGTGGTAAAAAGTTTGGTTACGCCCGATGCGTCTCTTCCCACATGGCTTTTGAGGTATTTTGAAAGCGTCAATAAAAGCAAAACCAAACAACACAGAGTGTTTTGTGAATTTAGGAGCCGTTACGTACAGATGAGAGGCTGAGGACGGACGGAGGCGTGCACGGGTTGCACTCTGAATCTGATGTAATCCCGTTTCTGCATCTGACCTCGTCTCCATCAGGGTCAAACGCCAACAAGCTGATGTTTCTTGGACAGTTTGAAGGAATCCTGAAAGTAAAAACCCACAAATCACTTTTCACAGCCACACCCAGACTCCTTCACCGTAATGCGCTTAATAAAAGCTGCCCAACTTGTTCTTTGAGCTTTTATTTTCATCAAGACATCCCTGTGATTCATGTGTTAATCTTCTCTTCAGGAACAATGTGGTAATGACGCTATAATGAGTCTGGTTGAACTTTTCTGCCATTGTTGAGTCTTTTTTTGGAAACAATCCTCTAACATACATGACTCACAATTAAATTCCTGTAACAAGTCCTTTCTTGACGGCCAAATTGTGTGAATATATAAAAACGGTTTGTGCTGTTCATACACTGCAAAAACACAAAATCTAGTTTCTAGTGCAAATATCTGAGTACACTTGAAATAAGACAAAATTAGCTTACAAATAACACTAGGACAAAAATATATGAGCTTGTTTTAAGTCAATAATTCCTCAATATTGATGAAAAGGTATTAAATTATTTCACTTATAACAGGATATTTTTCCTATGCTTTCACTGAAATAATCTGCTGATGAAACTAGAACTTTTTCATCAATACTATGGAATGAATTGACTTAAAATAACCCCCTATTTCTTATAAGTTAGCTTTCTCTTATGTGTTTTAAGATGTTTGCACCAGAATGTAGATTAAAAATACAAGGTAAAATTTTGCGTTTTTGCTGTGTAATGCCCCCATGTGTGGCCCTTTTCTGCCATTTCTGAATCAATTTAAGGTTCATGGGCCTCCTGTTTCTGACACTCCGGTGCAAAAATGAAGATTCACAGAGATTTAAATGCACACATTGCAACTTAGAAGCAACATTTAAGGTTCAGTAAAGCTGAAAACTGAATCCTGCAGGTTTACCTCAGAGCTGGGAGGATGGTGGTCACTGGCGACGTGTTGATTTGGTTGCTATCGGACCGGAAGCTCAGCTCGACGTCAGTCACGGCTCTCCAGGACACGATGCTGTTTATAATTCCAGTTATCCAGTTTCCACCATCCAACCTGTAGGGGGAGCAATTGAGAAGCTGATTGTAAGAGCGCTGGAGTTTGAGGTCAACATGAACCGATGGAGGTGCAGAGATTTCATCAGTTACTGTTGATTTAAACTTCACAAGAGGTGGGTAGTAACTAGTCACATTTAGTTTGCTATTACAGCTTACTTTTTACTTTTACTTGAGTAATATTATTTTGAAGTATCGCAACTCTTGAGTAAAATGTCGTGATACTTAACCTAATGCGAGTTATTTTACTTATAGAAGAACAAACATCTTTTAGACAAAAATGTATAAGATAGAGATCCACAAACTGTGTTAAAGTGAGACCTCTTGTTCATAGAGGAGCTTTGTTGTTCATGCTATTTTCTATCTTCTGAGCCTTTTGTGTCGTTTAGAGATCAAGTAAATATTCGGTAAATGTTATGTATCACTCCTGTACCGACTCTACCCTGTTGAAACCAGAGAAGAATAAAAACACAAATATACAACCAGACCAAACGTTTCTTGTTTGAGGTAAATCAGAATGACCTAAATTATTTAAACTTTCAAAATGCCACATCAATGAACGACTTCATTGATATTTATAAAGTCATTTTACTAAAAACGACTTTATATACAGAATGATTACTATCTCTGTCAACAATGGGAATAATGTCACTTCAGAAACTTCTGAAAGGCCGACTGAGACATTTAAGTTAAAGTCACACCTGTGGATGTACTTGAAGGCCACACCTGGGACTCTCTGCTTTTATGTTTGACACGATGTGAAAGTAAAAAGAAAGCAGCCAAGATATGAGGAAGATAATTGTGCAGCTGCACCAGTCTGATTCATTTACAAAGACTTGAAGGTGCGGTATTAAGATGTCCAAACAATTATATGAAATACTGACATGATGGAAATGTCCGACCATCGTACCGCTCAGGAAGGAGACGGGTTCTGGTCCAAAATGTGCAGACTGGCCTCAGATCAAAAGGTAAAGAGATGAAGTTGTCCTGTATCTCAGCAAGGAGGAAGTAATGGGTCCAAAAGAAACATCAACAGTCAGAATGTAGTTTGCAAAAGCACAGAGGGATAAATAGATTCATTTTTATCAGCATCTCCTGTAGAAACCTTAGTGTCTGATGACACTGAAGTGGAACAGTTTGATCATGATGACCATCGTTACGTTTGGAGGGAAACCGGGGATCTTTGTACAATCCTATCTGTGAATTACGGGGGTGGCAGCATCATGCTGTGGGACTGTTTTGCTGCAATAATAACCTTCAGCTTACAGCCAAAGTGGCTTCAGGACAACTTGTTTGGTGTGGCCAACACAAAGCCCCGATCTCAACTCTGGAGAAGTTGTGGGTTGAAACAACTTCAAACTTCTGGAATTTCAACGTCAGACCTAAACGTACAACTTAAGAGACAATTATCCAATCCGACCGTCACCAAAACCGGACTCACTGAAGCTGAAACGGAGCGGTGCCGGACACCAGGCGGGTCATGATGCCTTCTCTCTGGCACCACTCGCCCGGGCTTTCATCAACGACGTTCAGCTCCACGTCCGCCGTCTCGCTTCCACAGTTGCCACTGCAGCTCCACGTGTCGTTGGCTGTACAAGCAACGAAGCTCAGCTTGTAGCGAACGTTTACCTGAGGATTAGCAACAAAAGGTGTGAAGGAAGGTTAACGTTTGGAGGGCTTTTTTTAGGGAATCTCAGCTCACCAAGAGAGATCCATTGGTCATCATTTCCTTTGGGTAGTAGGTCATCACGGTGCCGTAATAATGGACGGCTTGTGATCCGCAAACCAGGAGCAGCAGCGACACAGAGAGCAACATGTTGACAGTGAGCTCTACACCTTCTGGCTCTCCTTCCTACTGTTCATTCCCATACAACAAGCTGAAGGTGTGGTTTCTGTTCAAAGAACATCAGTTACCACAGCATGACGCTCAGCAGGGATTAGCTATGCAGCAGAACAGGATGCGCAGAACCCAATTAAACCAATCGGGCAATACAAAAAAAATCAGAAAATACGAAATCTTACCAAGGACTTCTTGGTTTAGTTTGTCGTGAAAATATCTTGGGAAACTTGAAATAAGATAAAACCAACTTCAGCAAGTCATAGGAGTCAATTATTCAGTAATACTGGCAGATTATTTCACTTTTAAATGGAGAAAAATGTATTTTTTCATGAATATTTAGGAATTATTGACTTAAAACAAGCACCAATTTATTATTGAAAAGTTACTTTTAATCTAGTTTTATCTTATTTAAAGTGTTTTAAGATATTTGTACCAGAAACTAGACAAAATACTTTTTAAGACTGTAAAGCTGAAGGGATTGTTGAATATCTCACTCTTATTTTTCCAAAAACAAAGTTTTCAGTCTTGTTCTCATTCACTACACCTGCAAATCATTATACAGCACAGGTGTTAATGTGGGAATATTTGAATAATTAATCAGTCAAAATTTACTTTGTTCAATTAAAAACAAATAATTTTGCAGTATATGGTTCAATACACACTATGATATACATATAAAGCATTTATTTGAGTTCATTTTAAAGAAACAGACTGAAGAAAACACACATATCCAGTTTCTTAGAACATTTTGAAATGACACTGTCCTGGTTTAAAGGTTGATCTACTGAAAAAGGGATGAATAAAAAGTAAATGTACTCACTTTGTTGGTCTCCTTTTACATAAATTACTGCATCAATGCAGCCTGGCATGGAGGTATTTTACTCAAGCAAGAGTAGAAATACTTCATAATATAAATACTCAAGTGAAAATAAAAAGTACAAGGCAGTAAAAGTACTCCTAAAAGTACATTTTTAAAAAAGTTACTTAAGTTAATGTAACTAAATAAACGTAACTAAAAATCTGTCCCTTAATCTACCAAACCTGCATGTTTTTTAACCTGAGCACCAAATCACAGCTGAATGGATAAAATTATCTGAATTGTTTTACATTAGTTGCTTCCACCTGTTTGGTTCTTTTATGAATATTTGACGTCAGAACATAAAGGCCAAATACCTCAGTTAAATCTGACATTTACCTCGTCGCCTAGCAACACATTTTACTTTGGTCATGTAAACAACACCAAGCCTTCAGGGTAGATGCTTTTACTTTCTGTTTGTTAAAAGGAAATATTTTGCATGATCGGATTAGACGAACGACTACAAAGTGGCAAAGTACAAAATTAATTAAAATATTAAAACAAATTCAGTTCAGTTTATTTTTATAGCTTTAATTTACAATTTGTCTGTTTACAAAACAGTTCGATCCAAATAAATCACACAGATTCATCCTGACTATGAAACAATACAGTGAAGTCGTAAAGTTCTTTTTATTCAGATTGGTTTAAAACATTTTCTAAGTAAATTTGCAGCATTCAGTCCTCCTGGAGAATCGTGCAGCGACAGTTTTACTCAACGTAGAAACTTTACATAACAGAACAAGCAGTGGAGTCTGTTGAGAAAATAAATTTAAAATAAG